CCCCCGCCACCGTCCCCTCCCCGCGCGTCTTTCCCGGCCCGCCCGGTGCATTGTGGGCTGACGTCTTGGGGTTTGTCTGTCGAGTGACGGCGGCAGTCGCGAGCGGCCGGGCGCTCGCCGTGTCTGCCCCGGGTGGGATCGAGTTCGAGACGCGCGGTTGCAGGGACTTGGGGACCCCCCCAATCCCGGGAAGTCGGGGGCAGAGGGCGCGGGCCCGGAGTGGACTCGGGGTCTTCCGCGCCTGGAGCGGGGAGGTGGGAGCTGGGTCCGCGCCCCCCCGCACTTCCGGGGGGGGCGGGCGCACCGCGCTTAAGGTGGCCCGGGAGGTCCGGGGGAGGGGGCGGGCGCCAGAGTGAGCCCAAGTTTGGGGGACAGTCTTGGGAGACAGCCCCCCACACACATGGAGGACGCGCGAAAAGTTGGTCTCTTGGTCTAGAGTCCACGCGGCCGTGTGGCCAATCCCGGAAGCCGCCGAGTGATGGGAAAATTTGGAAACTGAGGCTCAGCGGAGTCCGGGGGCCCCTGGCCGCGCGTTCCGAGAGCCGGGGGAGACGCGGGCAGGGCTTCACAACTGCGCCTCGGGGGCGAGATGAGAAGGGGACTAAACGTCTTGGTGAACTGAGCGTCCAGACGTCGTGGTCTGAAACTCGGGGAACCGTGGCGATCGTCGGTGCCCCCGCACACCACCCCACGCGCGCACGCGCGCGCACACACGCACACACACACACTCACTCCCCTCCCGCCCCGGCTTGCTTCCGGGAAAACAATCCTGAGAGCAGCAGACTCTGGCCCCGAGTCACGCAGTGGAACCGGGAGTCCCGAGTCAGAGAGCCAGCTGCGCTCGCCACTCCCCGCCGGGTGGTGGGCGCACACCCCGCGCGGCCTCTAGGAAGCGCTAGACACATGGAAGTGACTTCTTCGCCGAGATCGTGTCGTTTCCTCCTCCCCAACCTCCTAGGACTAGCCTGTGTGCTCGCAAGAAGAACACTGGAGCCCGGCTGTGCGGGCGCCGCGGTGCGCAGCGTGCAAATCACGAAACTTTTGGGCGCTTCATTGGCCCCATCTACGCGTAGGTGGTGCCAGCGAGAGCCCTCACTTGGGACTTGAGAGGTGGTCACCAGACAGTCCCTCTCCTGCCCTTCCTCAGAGTTGCCAGGGTAGGAGTGTGACATGGCTGGGTCGGTGGTACCTCCTCTCTTGGAGGAGCAGGAGGAAAGAAGGAGAGGGAGAAAAGGGGTTAGAAGTCCGCCTTTCCCCCCATCTTCTCTCTCAACCGGGGACTCTGAGGTTGGATCTGCAGCCATGTAAAAGTTCCCAGGTTTCAATTCAGACCTCGCTGCTTCTAAACTTGGGGGTGGGGAGTGGGGGGAATTCAGCCATGGGTCTGTAGCCTGGAGGCCTTCGGGTATTTGTGGTTTTGAGAGTTCAGAAACCGACAGCAGCTGGTATCAGTGGGACATCATCCAACTTTTCTTCACTCCAGGCACTTCGCTCGCTTTTCACTCATGCAGCAAAGAATACCTGGCTACTGCCAGCCTGGCACGGAGCAGGGGTGGGGGTGGGGTAGGGATATAGAGATCCAGTTACTTTCCCCAAGAAGGGAACATGCCCGTATCTCTGTTCTCTGAATAATTACCTGTTGTAATCACTGAGCTGGTATTCTAAATAATGTTTTATGATAACAGTAACAAAAATAAATTTCATACATGAAACAGCTACTATCTGCCAGGTGTTTTAAGCAATTTTTTTTCTGGTTAGAAGTTTTTTAAAATAAATATATATTGAAAAGGTGATGAACAGAGGGGTTACAGTTACATAAGTAAGGTAATAAGTATTAAGCAAATTTTAAATACTGTTTTCTCTCTTGAGAGGCATGTATTATTGTCCAGGGTTGGCCTATAAGGAAATAGACCTAGAAAGGTCTAGTGTCCTGCTTAGGTCACACAGGCAGCTGGAAATTGGCCTCAAGTTTGTGCTACATTCTCTTGACTTTTCTCCATCCTGGCAAACTTTCTTGTAAAGTAATAGTTATCTGTAGACGAAATGACCCTGGTGGGCATAGAAGAAATGTTTTTGCCCAAGTATTGGTACATTTATTTTTTTAGAGCTCCTGTATTTAGATACTTCAAGATCTAGGATTTTGTGTAAATATACATCTTTTGCCTTGGAGTTCTGTGTGCTCCTTTGCCTTGTGTGGTTTAATAGGCTGAATTTCTCCTTAGGTTGAGAAATAGCATATTTCATCTAAAACGTAACAAATCTGTTCATGTTAACGCCCCTGCTTGGAAGCCTTCACTGCTTCTCCTTACAATCGGGACAGAATTTTGATTTCTTTGCCTGGGAGAGTCTTCCTTCCTTCCTTCCCTCATTATTCCATTATTATTGTTATTATTCCTCTTCCTCCTCCTTCGTTTCTTCACAATCTAGCTCCTGCTAACTCTAGCCTCATATCTCACTCCCAACTCTGTCAGAAAAGGCTGTATTATGCCTCCCTAAGGAGCATCCTTAACATCACAGTCTCCGTAATGTTGTTTATTTCGTGCTCCTGTTACATGCTGTGTTACATGTTCATTGTGGATCAGCAGAGAGCTCTGCTTCTGGTATTCACTTAAAGACTCTGGCTGAAGGGGGCTGGGAAGGTGGCTCAGTGGTAGAGTGCTTGCCTTGCATGCATGAGGTCCTGGGTTCGATTCCTCAGCACCACATAAGCAGAAAAAAGCTGGAAGTAGTGCTCTGGCTCAAGTGGTAGTAGTGCTAGCCTTGAGCTTAAGAGCTCAGGGACAGTGCCCAGGCCTGGAGTTCACACCCCATGACCACCACCACCTCCAACAAAGACTCTGGCTGAGGAGCTTCCTCTGGTCACCTGATTGTTCCAATTATTGTGGATGGGGGACAGGTGAGGAGAACTTAGCACATCATTGCCTGGCTCCCAGGCACATCCACCTGGAAGAGGTGCACACCATCTTTGCCCATAGACCACTGGCCAAAACAAGTCACAGGGCCATGCCAGAATTGAAATCTCTCTGAACTCTGCCAGATGTCTGGAAGGGCTTGCCAGGAGTATTTGGGG